GGGGTGTGTGGGGGGGTTTGCAGCCGCTTTGCGCTTGGGAGGAGGTGTGGAGGGAAATAAAGGTGCTGGTGGCGTGTCCTGGCTGTGGGGCTGACTCCCCAGTGGTGTTATTTCTCTTCCTCAGGCTGCGGAGGCTGTGCTCCGGCCGGTGGGAGTGGCCCCGGCCTGTCTTGTCCCAGTGAGAACGAAGAAGAGGTTCAGGGTCCCCGAGTGGGCCAGAGAGCTGTCCCCTGAAGAGAAGGAGAGGAGGCTCAGGTCTTTGATGCCCATGTTTCCTGACGAACGTGTAGAACGGACCTTCTACTTGGCCTGCACAGGTGGTAGAAAGCTGGCTTTGGTCTCTTCTTGGGGGAAAGCTAACACAAAGGAGCAGCGGGGAGCAGTGAACCCGCGCTGACAGAGGGTCTGCACTGTGCTGGATGATGCACTCTGCCTCCTGGTGAGGGGTAGCAGCAGCCCTGCTTTACCTCAGAAGCGTGTCAGGCTGTTGGCCCCTTTGTACCTAGGGACAAGGAATATCAAGGGAGGTTGTGTCCCCTGCTGCTGAATGTCCCTTACCTCATATCCTGGGCTGGATAGGAGAGCAGGTAGCAGGCACCCGTTGCTGCTGACAGGCTGTGTTAGACTAGCAGTTCTCTGTGCGCCCATATTTCCTTCTCCAGACTTTATCAGAGTAGAATCCTGTTTCTCCAGCCCCCAGCAGTCAGGGTGCTGCCTCTTTGTGTCCTTTGTTTTGTTGTTTTTGAGCCTCTTCCTGACCTCTCTCCTCTCCCATGCAGCTGATATTATAGACCCGTATGTCCCTCCTGAGGGCGATGCCCGCTTGACTCCCTTATCCAAAGATGGGCTGAAGCAAAAGATGGAGAAACTGAAGCAGACTGCAGCCTCTCAGCTAGCGTATGTGCCTCCTTTTTAATTAGTTTGCAGTGCAGAGTTTTTGCTCGGGTCTGTCTTGCAGTAGTAAGGTGGCACATTTTGTTTTCTAAGTTCTTTTTTTTTTTTGTTCTTTGCTGACTGTAGAGCTTTTCTTTTCTTTTCAGTCTGCGGAAGGTAAAAGATCATGATCCGGATTTCAGCACTAAAACCTTCCCGGAGAAGGCGCAGGAGATATTTATCGAAGCTCACAATTCCCTGGCAAAGTAAGACCCCTTCTCTGACTTATGGTGTACATCCTGCTTCTCTTTGCTTTTATGCTCTGGTTTTCTTCCTTGTTTTTCTAATCCTTGTGCCTCCTTTACAATTCCAAACATCAATAAAACATTTAGGTCATAACTAGCTTCCAAAGGATGTTGTGTCTTTCCCTGAAGTCTTGTCAACCAGCTTGCATTCATGTTCTGAGTTAGTGCTGAGATTGCAGCTGAGAATCTTGCTTTTTCTGTTTTTCCAGAAGATTGTGCATCTTCTGGAGAAGCAGGACTTTGTGAGCAAGTCTCTACAATCTGTGTTTGAGTAACTGGGTGTGTTTCTCTTGCAGCTTTAACAAGCAGAAACTTCACTCCCTGGTGACAGAGCGCTGCTACCCGGTAAGTGTTTATCTGGATGTAGAGTGTCCTTGATTTCTTCCATGGACTCTAAGGCTCTCTAAACCTGATGATCTGTCTCATTTTTTTTCTGGATAAAGACAGCTGTGAGGGAAAGCACAAGTCTAATAGTTCAAGAATAAATTATTATATATAGTAGTTTGCTTGTCATTCTGTTCACATCCTAATTAAGTTGGTGCTTATTTTTTTTTTTCTTTCTAGGAAATGGTCCGTGGGAACAGGTACAAAACCATCCGGTGGAGTTTTGTGGAGTCCCTGGAGCCTCCAAGAGTGGTTCACGTTCGATGCACCAGCATTGTGAACCGAGGCAACCTCTATGGGCAGGTGACGGTGCGGATGCACACGCGGCAGGTAAATCCCCTCACGCCCCTTGTGTTTCCCGACTCCAACCTGCTGCCAGCCCAACTAACATTTCTTCTGTTTTTCCAGATTCTGGCAATCTATGACCGCTTTGGGCGGCTGATGTACGGCGGGGAGCAGGTGCCCAAGGACGTGCTGGAGTACGTGGTGTTTGAGAGGTACCTGGTCAACCCCTATGGCACCTGGAGGATGCATGGCAAGATCGTTCCTGCGTGGGCTCCACCCAAGGACCCCATTGTTAAGGTAATGTCACCAGCATGGCCTGTGTCTGTGAAACATGGGTCCCTGGTTAATTCTGGACAAAACCAAAGCTGAGCTTCCTCTAGTGGGAAGGTGGGGGATTAATCTGCAAGCAGACTTATTTATGAAGGTGGGATTGTCAGCCTCTAAGCACCTGGAAGCTATAATAGGAAGCTGAGGGCATTTGATGTGTCTGTGATGATTGAGGGGGTTGCTGCTCCCTGCGTGTCGCCTGGCAGAGGGATGCGGGTGCTCTGTCTTCCTGTGTTAGTAAAAACAGGTCCTAGAGAGGAAGGAGGTGAGAACTAGAGGGTAGTACAAGGCACGTCATCCTCTTCCCCTTCCGTGTCCTCCCCCATGCTGCTGCCATCTGCTCACCGTCCTGTGCAAGGCCTTTGTGTTGCCAGAACCCCCTCCCCACCCTTCCCCACCCTTCCTCGGGCTCTGCACCGTGGAGAATCCCTCTTTCAGCAGCTCAGAGTTCCTCTGTGTCGTGCTGATTTTGTTCCTCGCTTTTTCAGACTGTGATGATTCCTGGCCCCACCTTGGATCCCTCCCAGGAGCGTGAAGAGATGAAGTAGGACGTTCCCAAGCGTGTAGAGAGCGAGCAGAGCAAACAGCCCTGCAGGCAAAGTCTGTGGAGGTGGCGGGTTGGATATGGCTGTGCCTTTCCAGTGAGCAGCTAACAAACAAAGCAGGTGCAGAAATGGACTCCAGTCACCCAGAAATTGTTTTTAAAGGAGTGAGAGGGGCCTGGGAGGGGGATTCAGAGAGCTCTGAGAAGAGCTTTACTCTGTCCAGGTAGACTTGGTGTGCTGCAGCCTAACCCTCTGTGTTTCTGCGAAGAGGAGCAGTCTGCTCTCTTCAGGACCACTCTCCAGACCAACCTCTGTCCTGAATGCGCATCAGGAGAGCCCTTGGCAGCAGAGGTCTGACCAGACCCGGGATCTTTGGCACTTCCACGGGAAGTGTCACAGACCTGGTGGGCTTTCATTAAAACCTGCAGCAGGAAGTGTTGGTGCTTGCTTTTCCCATCGTCTTTCCCTCTCTCTACTGATTCCCAGGCTGCTTTTTTTTAATGGAAAACAGGGCAGAGCAGCAAGCACCCTTTAAATCGGATTCTCCTGGGTGGGTGCTGGCGGCGGGCTCCTGCTGAGCGCGGGCTGGTTGATGGCTGAGGTTCCCAAAGGGGCTGCAGCACGGCGCTGATAACTTAATAAAATTTTTTGACTCCTAAGGTCAGCATTTGTGTCAATCGGTGTCGTCTTGGAAGGCAGCACTTCTCATAGCTGGGGGGTTTTGGTGCATTTGTTGCAGATGCTCCTGAATTCAGCGCTGGGATGTTGTCAGCGAGTGGCTGGCACCATCCTGTGGACATGGTGACATTTGCATCTGGTTTTGCAGGCTGTGTGGGCTGGGAAAACACCTACCCAGCGGTTACCTTCTTCTGTGGCTGGGAGTAAGCCAGTGCACTCTGCTGATCTGTTCCTGGTCACAGAGCAAAATCTTCACTAGTCATCAAACAACGAAGCATTTTCACCCTTGTCTTGCCTTTTAGCTCAGCCATTTTCCAGAGCTTGTGAGAGTTAAGTGTGTATTTTCTTCTTCCTTGAAAGAGATTTTCCAGAGTATGCAGTAAAAGAGTTACGGCTCCTTCTGCTCGCAGAGTTGTTCTTGTGAATGATGTTCTTTTGAAAGGGCAGAATATCATCTTCGTGCTCTGCCAGGAGAGCAGCCAGCTCTGGAATCCCTTTCCTCTTTTTGGAAGTCAGAGGGGTGTCACAATCTGCCTTTCCTGACAGAACCCGCTCTACTGTGCCTTCTGCCTACGCTTCATTCATGGGCTGAGGAGAGATTCAGCGCCCAGCATATGGTAGCGGGACTGGGACCTGAAATAAAGGGGTGTGAGCTGCCTGGTGTGTGTCTGGGGTGACTGGGTCAGCTCACAGGCGGGTGTGGGCATCCCTGCTCCACCACGACCAACAGCCATGCTCCTCAGTTCCAGCTCTGGATGAAGAGAGCGTGTTTTCTGGTGGAGGGGCTGGCTTTTCTGTGAGAGCGGCTTTTCCTCCCACCCTAGCAGCCTGTGTCTCCCCACTGCCGTTGCCAATATTCAAATCTCTGCAACGGAACCGCTTCTGTCCCGGGGTTTCCTTCACAACCTTGCTGCTCGCTGCTGTACCTCTGCCCTGAGCAGATTTAGTGTCTTACCCATAAATCAGCCACTAACTCTGCACTCTGTAGATAATACTTTTTATTTTCTGTCTGTACACATACTTACACCATCGGGTGATTGTTGGACGTTCAGCGGCGCTGCAGCCTGCAGACAGCACACGACGGCGATGCCGCTTTCTAGGGAGAGGGGAAGGAAACGCCAAAGGAACAGCAGGACGAGCCCTGAGCCCCAGCCGTGCCTGGAGACCAGAGGGAGAACCCAAACCTTCGCTCCTGCTGTCTCAGGTTTTATTTGGTTCCATTTAAAAGGAGCAGAGGGACAAACCTGGGGAGACTGGAGGCTTCGTTGTTTCCCAGCTGCCGCCTTCCTCACCCCGAGGCTTCTCCCCACGCGTGTGGCCGCGTCCCTTGTGCATTTGTAAGCGGGTGGGCTGGAGGAGCGGCGAACCTGGGAGCCCTGCGGTGCCCTGGACATCGCCGTGCCTCCGTGGCCTCAGCATCTCCTCTGTCCTCTGCACCTCGGCCCCAAAGGAGTGGGTCTTGCGAACGCAGGGAGGAGTTGAAATGTGGGATGACAAAAGGCATCCGGCGCTTCTGTGGAGGCTTGCTAGGGGAAATCTTGATGGAAAAAAACCTCAGTGATGGGAAGGTGAGCCCTGGGCATGTCTGCACGCGGGGAGGATGGACACACGTGCGCACGCGGTACAAGGGAAGAAGAAACCAGTAGCAAAGTGCTTTGAAAAGTCAGGGGCATTGTTCGTTAAGACAAACGCCTTTACAGCGGGCTTGCTGCGAGAGTTCCAAGAGTAGCAGCAGCCGTGTCTGCACCCAGCTGGTGGAGGGATGGATGGAGGGAGGGAGAGATGGAGCTACTCGTGGTCCCACGGGCAGATGTTGGGGTCACTCACACCCCCGCCCCCATCTCCAGGGGTCCCCTGGGCTCTGCCCTGTCTGCAGAGGGTCGGGGTGGGATCCCCACTCTCCAACTCCCATGGACACACCTCAGAGGTTTTCCT